TAGATAGATAGATAGATAGATAGATAGATAGATAGATAGATAGATAGACGGACAAACAGGCAGACGGACAGATATAGATGATAAATATATGGATAGATAGGTAGATAGATGTAGTTATCCTTATGGCCCTGTATAATATTTGATTCAAGTTTTCTACTCCACCAAAAGTCAAGCTATGTAATGAACAGACTACCATTGAGAAGTGGTGTTTTAACTAATTGTGACAAATCCAGATTTTTAAAAACTTCTATACAGTATCTTAAAGGAGAAGGATGTCTGATAGCAGCAGCTCCAATTGCAGTAAAAGAGATGTTGGGTTAAAAAGGAACATACCCATACCCATAATACAGAGAGATCTCTGCCATGCAGAGGAAAATAATGTGTTTAAAACCTCTCCCTCTACTGTGAGGTCTGGACAGTTCTTGTCTAATCTTTCTACCTTGGTGCCTTAGTTGTCCATCACAATTACAATTGAGAGCTCTATCATGCAGCAACAGATACCACAGCGTTACACTACAGGTAGTCCTCGACAATTGAACCCAACATTTCTGTTAAGTGAGTTTTGCCTCATTTTACGACATTTCTTGCCACAGTTGCTAAGTGAATCATTGCAGTTGGTAAATTAGTAACGCGATTGTTATGTGAATCTGGCTTCCCCGTTGACTTTGCTTGTCAGAACATGGGAAAAGGTGATCACATGATCTTGGGATACAGCAATGTACATAAGTATGAACCAGTTGCCAAGCTTCTGAATGATGATCACATGATCATGGGGATGCTGCGAAGGTTGTAACATTGAGATATGGCCATAAGCCACATTTTTCAGTGCCATTGTAACTTTGAACTAAACAAACTGTTGTAAATTGAGGACTACCTATAGTCCATGCCTCTTGATGACACACAGCATTCTCCTTATTGGCAGCTCATCGTTGCTATTAAAGCCATTGTATGTTAAGATCATAGCTGACGTTTCGATGAGATCATTTTGACCTTGACGCTTTCATGATTTTTGAGGGATTAACGGACATCTGTTCACTAATCTGCTAAAGTCTAATGCATAAACTGGCATATTGAACCTGCTTATTGTAGGCCATACTCATGGGATATCAGACATTTGAGATGGTTCATGGTTGTCACAAGAATCCTGCTACAAAGTGACAGTTTCCAAAGTGATATTGCTGCCACAATGGCCTGTTTTGGATAGAGGAAGATGCACAACTTTCGATTGCACAACTCCCACCAGAGGTACTCTGGAACTGAACAATTTTCTTCCAGGAGAGATGGAGAAAAGCAGCTGGTATTGCATGCAGATGATGATCGTGCCTGGATAACTAAAGGATTGCCTTTGCAGGCATGGTGAGGCACTGCTGATCTGCATCATGTACACAATTGAAACAAAATACTTTTATCTGCTGAAAAAGCCTTTTAAAAAATCCAGGAGCAAAATGGGGGAGCTAGTGGGATGGAAAGAAATTTGTTTCAGTTTATTGTAGAGCAGAACAAAATAAAATAGTATAATTCAAAATTTAAACATTCAACTTCAGAATCAAAAACTATTTAAAATCAGCTTACAAATGAAGACATCTTCCCTATAGCTAGGGCCTGTTTGTATTTTCATATGTATCATGCTAACATACTAATGTTTTAATTACATTAACCTCCATTCTCTCAAGTATAAAATCTATAACCACTAGCAGCTTAAAAGACATGCAACACTTGTAGGTTTGGATATTTTGCTAAGAACAAGCTCCCACTCAGTATAACTTACTCTGGAGTAAATATGTTTTGCCTTTGTTTAACTGCCAGAGATGCAACTGCAATTTTGGACAAAACAAAGACTGTTCCATTTTAAGTTCAAACAACATTTAAATATGTTTGTCATTAACTAGGCACAAAAAACCCACTTCCCTGATGAAAGCAGGCAAAATCAAACCAGATTGTGTTTTCCCCACACTTCTGCCCATACAGTACTGATTTTGCTTGCATCAGAAGGCCAAGTTACTGCAAAACTCCCAAACCCCACAATTAAAACAAAGTTGGTGGTTGTTGCTAACTGGAAAACTCTATGCTTATATTGTGACACAAAACTACATTTTAGCTGTACAATGGTAATACATTCAAAATATAGACAGGCGATCTTAATGCAAACCAACGGCCTTGATTTGGAAAGGTCTTTGTGCTTCAAATCACAAGGCAAGTCAAGGCCTAAAAATGGGGCTTTCTTTCCAACATTGACAAATTTATAACTTCATGGAAAGAAGGTGGAAGTATTCATGGGTGCTATATTTAAAAAGTGTATGGTGATGGGATGTGTATGGGTGTTTCCTTTTAGAGACCTGAATCAAACATTCTGGCACATGAAGATGGCAACTATTATCCCACAGGGAGTTTTGATGTGCTCCCCAAGTGCCTCGCAGATTGCATTTCACTCAAATAAAATACTTCATTAAAATTCAGCTGCTACTTCTCTACCAGCCAGGAATTGAGAAAAATATTTCCCATCAATGCATTTTACAAGCATTTCCCCTCTTTTTCCCTGCATTGCAAATTTTCACCATTGGAGATTCTACCTAGTAATGTGGATGAGGAGATAGTCAATCCAGGATGATAGCAAGGAATGCCAAGAGCAGGGAATGCATTAAGGAGGGAAGAAGCCATCTTCCCAAAATCTGAATCTTGCAAATTATACCATTCAAGCCAAAGTTTTTCAGTGGAAAACCAATAGCAGACCAGTTTTAAAAGCATGGAGCTTTGAAGCGTAGTTTTGGACTCATAAAAATTTGAAGGTTTCGCATGACAGGAATAGTTAAAATAAGGCTGTCTCATTTCTTTTCATCACTTTTTTCCTAATTAAAATTCTACTCCTACCAGTAGGTAGCCAAAGGAAAAATCCAAAATGAGACTTTAAGAACATGACTTCCACTAGAGGGCATCACCTGTTAGTGAGATTATAAGAAATACTTTCCTAAAGGAAAAGCACAGTATTAAAATTTATCATATTTTTTTTAAACTTTGCTACGGTTCTGTTTATAGGCTTTGGATTATGAAAATGATAACGGTGGTGCTGATGTTTCGGATTTAATGTTATGGCTTTCTACCTGTTGGATGAGGAAGAAAGCTATAGAAATTGACAATTACATGTATGAAAGGTGGGACAGGAAGAGAAGAAATTTTGTAAAAAGAAAATATTAAAATGCACCAACTACCACCATTGGTCATTAATATGTTAATGCTAATGTTGTTTTGGATTATCAACTTGGTTGCTTGTATATATTTCTGGGGTGCCTTGGAGTCAGTGCTGACTCTTAGCAACTGCCTAGACAAGTCCCTGCAGTTTTCTTAGCAAGATTTCTTGGAAATGGTTTGCCATTGTCTGGTTCCTATGGCTGAGAGTCTGGCCAAGATAGCTTTTTGTCTAAGGCAGGACTAAAACTCACAGCCTCCTGGTTTCTAGGCTTAATGACAATATTAATGATACACACTGATAACTCCCAAATGCTGGGGACTGCAGTTGGTTATTATCTGTGTTTATCATTCAGATTGGTGTAGCCAATACACAGGCTACTTTTCCTGGTTGTGGGCTTCTTTTAAGCATCCATCCTGTTGCTCTAGAACAGTGATCACCAACTGGTGGTTTACAAGAAGATTTTGGTGGTCTGCAGAAAAATCTTTGCATTTTTTAATATTGCACTAAATCAGGGATCCTCAAACTATGGCCCCTGGGTCGGATATGGCCCACCGAAGCAATTACTCCCGCTCGCTGACAGGATGGGGTCGTTCAGGCACTTAACCTGGCTGCCTGTTTAGTAGCTCTAACCCTACCATCTTTCCCTCCCTGGGAGTCTAGGCGCTTCAGTAAGCAGTGCACAAAACTTCGGCCAGGCTCCTCAAAAAGCAGTTTGCAGGGGACAGATCTAGTGGCCGGGCTGGCTACAAGACAAACATTCATTCTTGGCCATATTTGAGATTCCTAGCTGCAATGGACATCAAACCTAGGGTTGACTCCAACCCGTCTCTTCACCAAGCTAAGTACCTGAAGGACCCCATCCTGTCACTAATTCATATTAGTGGTCCACGGGATTTAAAATTATGAATTTAGTGGTACCTGAGGTCTGAAAGGTTGGTGACCCCCTGCTCTAGAAAACAGCATGCTGGACTAAATGACTCTTGACCTGTTCAAGAACGGACGTTCTGATGATATTAAAGATGCAATCGTACCTCGAAAACTATCATTTCCTCTTCAGTGAACAATCTATTGCTTACTTGCTGCATTCTGTTTATATTTACATATGTATGTACAAGAAGGTATTTGCCACTTAGAAAATTGAATGTTGAAATTTTGTTTTCTTATTTCTGGGCCTTCACTTCCAGCTTCAGTCATGTCCAATGCAATGTAAAACTAATATGAAAAGACTGGTTACAGGTACATCGTTTCTGCTGCCTGTGGTCCAACTTATAAACCTAAACATTTTCCCTAAATTACCCTCTCAAGACATACAATGAGGGAGATGATTTACAGCAATATATTTTTGGGCCCGGGGGATTCAAAATGTCCGCCTTCTGTTTATATCCTCTCAGAACAATATAGGAAAGGGTGTAAATGCAGAGGTAGAGATGTGCTGTGATTCCAGAGTTTTGATTAAACATCAAAACCCTGATATATTCATCTCACAAAACAACAAAAGTGTTGGCATGGAGTGTCAACCCACTTCCACTGACACAAAAGTTAGCCACTTGAAAAGTCACGTGGCACATTGATTGTTCCCTCCTAATGAAGAAATTCCACAGCCAATGAGCAATTCTATGGCCATGGAAAAGCTCAGGGCTCCTGGAATTCTGCAGCCAACGCTGGGTTAGGTGGATGCATGAGTGGCAGATGGTTTCAGACTCTCACTGCCATAATGCAGAATGACATTTGCTGCAGAATTCGCTTACCCTTGCCGCAGAAGCTGGCCAGGAAGTGCTGCTGAATTCCAGGGGCCCTGAATTAAACTGTATGTGATCACGGGATGGAGAGCCTGAAGAAGACTGAAGAGCAAGGGGTAAAGGGTTAAAATAGCAGCTATGGAGAGCAGAGGAAAAAAAATAAGCATATGAACACATCAGGAAGTATGCAGGACACCATTACCACATCGTAGGCAAAGACTGAATTCACTATCACTGTTGTTTACTAAAACAAATCATTTGCCTTCTGCTGGAAATAAATCTTCAAACCATAAGAACTTTGAGTAATATAGTAACAAGTGAACTTTATAGAAGCAAGGCTCTTACTTGTTGTCACTGGCATTTATTTTATGCAGCATATTTGAATTTGAATTTGAATTTGAAAGTTTATTTATAGGCCGCCCTTTTCCCTGGGGGGACTCAGGGCGGCTTACAACTCATGGGGAAGGGGATACAAACAATGACACATAAGAACAATACATAATTAAAAAGAACACAACATTCATACCATTCGGGTGGGGGTGGATTAAATCTTATCCCCAGGCCTGATGGGATAGCCAGATTTTAAGGGCTGTGCGGAAGGTCTGGAGGGTGGTGAGGGTACGAATCTCCACGGGGAGATCGTTCCAAAGGGTCGGAGCTACTACCGAGAAGGCTCTCCTCCGCGTAGTTGCCAGTCGACACTGACTGGCAGATGGAATTCGGAGGAGGCCTAATCTGTGTCATCTAATTGGTCGCGAGGAGGTAATTGGCAAGTGCTGGACACTTGGTTAAAGAATAGTGGGTAGAATTATATATTGTGAAGATTTTGTTTGCTCTCTAATCTGAACCTTTTATTTAATCCAGTTTTACACTGGGCATGGAGCGAAAAGTAAACTAGCCCCAGAAAATTTTTTCAAACACTTCCCCCCCCCCCCCCACAATTTAACTTTGGACTTAAGATGAAAAATTACATCTTTGCCAGGTCAGTGGATGAACTGTACTCCTCCCCCCCCACTACATATATTTATTAATGAATACCCTTAAGTAGCATCAGATATTTATTTAGAAATCAGTTTTACTGAATCTGTGCTGAGGTTTGGTACCATATGGATGGGCACAGACCTGAGGTCTAAAATTATGTTCAGTAAATGAAAACACAAAACAATTACTATGAGATGCTAATTTCTGTTTTCTAAAAAAATCATGATACAGGGTACTTTTTATTTTTCCCTCTCCCCAGTGCAGAAAATATTGAAGCCATGTCCTCTACTACAAAAAGCTATAAGAGAAGGGTCCTTTCTTGTGTGGTGATGGTGCTGCTTCTTGTTACGGAAATTCAGATAAATAATATATCTATTGCATTGTATCTTCCCCCCTCCCCCAAATTATCTATTGCCCAATGCTTCTACTGTCCACCACTTTTCAAAATAATAAAATTAACCTGTAAAATGTATTTATTACAATAATGCCTTTCCATTAGTTATTCCTTTCCTTCTTCCCACAAAAAAAACCTGATTAATTTGGGGTAATTTAACAATGCTCTGGTGTTCATTTGTTTTTAATGATAGTAATCAGTCAATCTTAAAAATCCACAGAAACATTTTTAATGAAAGATGGGAGATTGTAAAAGATTAGTAAACTAGTTTGCCTGGGGAGTCTTGTGGGAGACGCGAACCAATTTACCTCTAAGCCAATTGTACTTAAGTAATATGAGAGGCCTAAGGAACAAAAACAAGAAATAAAAGACTTTCTACTTGAAGTGATTTATGAAGATAACCTGAAGATCAACAAACAAAAAATTGCAATTGTGACCTGCAATGTTTGTGGTATTTGTCTTCCTTTCTGAAAACAAGCTGGAATACATTCGCAGCAAATGCACATGTATAGCAAGCCTATACATTTGAGAAAAAGCCATGGAATTAGAGTTCAAATTGCTATCATTTAAGAAAGGAAGCTCCAAAGTAAAAAAAAAAGAGAGAGAGATGGAGAGGGAGAAAGTAGATAGATGTAAAGACAGTATCAAATGCACTGGATGAAAGTAAAAACCAAGAGGAAGAAATGAAGATATAGTCTCCGCTAGAAATCAGAAACAACACTCCGTTCCTTCAAATTCAAACTATGGATGTTTAGAAGGATGAAAATGAACGTGACTTGACTCCCTAAATGATAAATAGGAAGAAACTGCATCCGCAATAAGAAGACAAAGTGTAGTAGTAGTTGGTTTTTTTTAGGACTCCAACAATTGAAACAAACATGTTGACTGAATCTATCAACTAATGAAGTTTGCTGTTTGCCAGGAAAAAGGTTCAAGGGTATGACAGAAGATTTTCTAAGTTACCACTTTTAATAACAATTATCCCTTCTTGTTGATAGATATGAGAAAAAGTGATGTTGTAAAAAAGAACTATAACTCTATCATAACATTTCTGATGAAAGCGTGAAAGACATGCATGATCCTATGTTAGCTGGTCATGTTAATAAGCACTGTTACATTAAGAATATATCTGGTATGGTCAGTCCACACATTGTTCTGAATCCATACTATGGAGACAGAAGTCTTTGTGCCTGAGCTATGGTGGTGCAGTGCTTAAACTGCAGTGTTGCAGGCTAATTCACTGCTCACTGTTCAATTCTTACCGGTTCCAGGTTGACTCAGCCTTCAATCCTTCTGAGGTCGGTAAAATGAGGACCTAGATTGTTGGGGGCAATATCTGTAAACTGCTTAGAGAGGGCTGTAAAGCACTATGAAAGGGTATATAAAGGCTAAATGCTATGGCTATGTTAATCTTCCAAAGTGGGTGCCTTCTCAAAGAGGTGGATTTGGCTGTTGGTTGGAATTTGGCAAATCAGTCTAATTTTGAAAGTTTTGGTCCAAGCTGGTTTCATCCAGAACACACGATTAAATAAAATTGAGTTGAAGTGTTTTAGATCATAGAGAAAGACAAATCAACTTCTCACTTGGTAGAATGTGCTAGTAAATAGAGATGTATTAATTTAATTTAACAGTTAATTTAACATTATTGGCCTTTCCTAAGGTTTTGAAAATGAAGAGTGGGCATGAGAGATTCTGAGTGTGAGTAAAACACCATGCACACAAGTATGCATTATTTTGTTTTCTAAACTGCAAACTTCCTGCTACCATGTTTCCCCGAAAACAAGACAGGGTCTTATTTTCTTTTGACCTCCCGAAATAAGCACTTGGCCTTATTTTCGGGGAGGTCTTATTATTTTTGAGGTGCAGGAGGCGGTGAGCGTGGCCACCCCATGGCTGCTGCTGTGTTGCAATATTTTTGGGGAGGGCTTATTTTCGGGGTAGGGTTTATTTTAGCCCATGTGCTCAAAAGCCCGATTGGGCTTATTATCCAGGGAGGTCTTATTTTGGGGGAAACAGGATAGTTGTTTGGTCCCAAAGCTGAAGCATCTGTTTTAATTTGTTTAAAAAAAGTCAGGTAAGGACATAATTTAACAGTCCTTCCCCATATACTACTTACTTATGCTATTTCAAGTTCCTGTAGCAGTTTTAAAAAAACAACAATATCTTGCAAATACATAATCGCCTAAATGTTAAATTTTCATGAGTGAAGACATTTGTGCAGGTTCCAGAATTAGCCTTCCAGTCATATGTGAGCAAGCAGAAATCAGCCCCTGTATAAAATTTATTGTCCATCTCAAGATAGTACTTTGATTTTATATATGCGAGGGATGTTAAACCAACTCATTGGTAAAGCCAATCGGTTTTGCTGCTCTTTGCTTCTGAGCATCATCAGCCAGTAAAAAGCCACCTACCAGCCACAGGCCTGTTATGGTTGGTTGATTGATAGCATTTAAGAGACAAGATCACCATTCGTTCCAATCAGAGAATAAACATTCTGGATTCATCCCACCCTAATAATTTGGCCATGACATTAGGCACTTCTTCAAGATTTAAAATGGACATTTGCCTGCCTACACTTGCATACTTTTCCTCTGATTGCATTCACAATTTCTGTCATACCAATGCCCAATGATTGCCTTTTGCTCTGAAGAAAAAGTGGATTCTTTAAGCAAAAAAGTAAACAGAAAAGTGAGGGAAAATTTTAAGAAAAGATCACAAATGAACTGGAGGTAAAACATGCACAATCATTCTTTTACATTTAGCCATAAAATCTAAGACCAAACTTATGGAATTTATCTTCTGGGCTTTCCATTTTCCTTCTGAGAGCTTTAGGGGGGTTGTTGGTGCTGATTCATTCAGACAAAGGGATTCTTTGTAGAAGGAATAGAGATGTAGGTAAATAAAAGTAGACACCCCCAAACTTAAGCTTGCCACTAATTGCTTGCCACTAATTAACTACATCTACGCAGTCTTCTAAGTCTTCTAAGCCAAGGGTCTGGGCACTGGTTGGGCAATTCTGAGCGTTGAAGTCTGCAGGTCTCAAAGTTGCCAAGGTTGGAGACCCATATTCTAAGCAGTGTTATGGAAATGTGGCCCTCTTTTTAGTCGGAAACCCCCCCCCCCCAACTCACAGCCTAGTCAACAATTCTGGAATTCTTTATTGGAACTTTTTCAAATACTATCCAGAGCTGACCATACCTAACTTCTGAGATCAAAGTCACATGTTGCGACCTGCTGAGGTAAGCATCAGGGAAGGCACCATCAAATTTAAAGAAGCCTGGTGTAGCTTATCTATTTCTGAATATTATTTTAATCATTTTTTCTTTGTTACATCTCAAGATGAGGTCAAGTAGAGCTATATCCAGATATGAATCACCTTTCTGTTGTCTCTTTTCCATGCTTAATGAACTGCTATGAAGTATGCAATGGTGCATTCCTGTTGTGCATTATACTGCAAAGAAACCCATCCATTTTGGACTATTCACAAGATGTATCCAGATTTCTGAGGAATATCATCCTCAAATGCAATGTAAATTATTAACCTAGCTCTAGATCTTCTATAGACCTGCATAAAGAAAAGTACAGTATTCTCTCATAACAAGTACCCTGTTTAGCAATTGTTTGACAGTGGTCACACTAGTCCTTGAAGTTATGACCATCACAGTGTCCCCGGGGTCATATGATCACCATTTGTACACTTTACAGCCAGCTTCTGACAAGTAGAGTCAATGGCAGTAAAATCACAAATCGTGTTTATGTAATATCTTGCTTAATGATCAAAAGTGATTCACTTAACAACAATGGCAAAAGTGAGGTCATAGATCTGTGATTTCTTGCTTAATGACTGCATTGCTTAATGATGGAGTTCCTATTTCAATCGTGAGAGTCCTTAAGCAAGAACTATCCGCATGAAAGTCTGTAGCAACTTCTCTGAACTAAGAACAATTTAGATCTAGCAATATTAAACTGCCTGAATGCAGTTATAATATTCACACACAAGAATAATAAGGTAAAGCATGTGTTGAGAGAGAGAGAGAGATCCAACATGTTTATTTATACCAATAATTATACACGAAACATCAATTTCTGTGAGATTATTATTTACTTTGAGAATACTACCAAAGCCTTTCTCCTTTTCCCCATTGTAATAAAGAGATGTTAAAAAAATTAAATCCTTAAATAATTTCAAGGCAATATATTATATTTTGTAGAGATCCACCTTAAAGCAATTGTTTATTTTCCTCCCACAAGAATTAAGTATCTTAGTCAGGCATCACACCTAAATACTTGCTTAACTCCAAAAATGGATCTAGTCTTTATTGTCACTTACATAGTTTGAATATTCTTGGGGCAATCTTGTCAGGAGAAATTTAGCATTTTCATGTTCAATCCCATTTAAGTGAAGGAGCACTGAATAATATCTTCTTCACTATCCTCCAAATAGTCTTCCAATGCCCTTCTTCTCTTTTTCAACTGTCTGGTGTCTTTGCAACATTCCATGGCTGTCTATTTGCTAAGGAGCATAGATGGGAACGGAATGTTGCAAGGACATAGGCAGTTGAAAAAGAGGAAAAGGGCATTGGAAGAATATTGGAAAGACAGTGAAGCAGAGGCACTGAAGCTAGTATACCATGAAGGTTTACTAAATACCAAAGATTCCAAACTGTCCTACAAGAAAAATAAAATGAAAAATAGAAAAGAGATATAGCAAGGCAAAGTATTACATTGCCAGGACACAAAAAAGTAGCAGGCAAAGGAGATAACATGACCAGATAAATGGCTAAGAGCAGAAAAGTTGACAAAAGAGACAGAGGGTCTAATTCTGGTTGTACAAGGCCACACTTTACGAACAAAAGCAAGAAGACAGCAATAGAGCACAAATGCTATCTCTGCAAAGAAGCTGAAGGAACAGTAGACCAATTAATTGGCTGCTTCAAGAAGATAGCAAAGACTGACGACAAACAATGGGAGGAGAAAGTAGCAACAATGGTGCTGGATATTGGAATATGCAAGAAATATCACTTGCCTGTAGAAGGGACTGAAAGAACTGAAGGGACAACAAAACAGGCAAATTAATAGCAAATGAAGAAGCTAAAGTCCTCTGGAACTTCAGAAATTAAACAGACAAGCATTTGTCACACAGCACTCCAGACTAAACAATTAATAGGAAAGACTAAAAAATCTGGATAGTAAACATTGCAATACCTGGAAGCAGAGAATAGAAGAGAAAGAACTGGAGAGAAATCACAAATTACAAAGACCTGCAAAAGGAAGTCAAAAGGCTGTGGCAAAAGAAAGACCAAGATAGTACCAATAGTAATAGGCACCTCGGCCTATCATTTAAAGGTTGGATATTTACAGATTAACAGAGTTGGAAGGGACCTTGTAGGTCATCTAGTCCAATTCCCCCCCACCCAAGCAGGAGACCCCTACACCATTTCTGACAAATGGCAGTCCAATCTCTTCTTGAAGTCTCCAGTGATGAAGCTCCCACAACTTCTGAAGGCAGGCTGTTCCATTGGTTGATTGTTCTCACTGTTCTCACTGTCACAGTCAGATTCATTTCCTGAATACTCAAAATGTCATATGGTGAATTTAGAGTATTTGGAAAAATAACCTGTTTTGAGATTAGAACACTTCATAGCAGAATGTTTGTGGTCCTCTACTCAAAGCATCAAGCTCAACAACAAAAAAGAGAGAAAAGATGGAGAATGAAAAAAGGCAGCAGAAGTCAAAGGTGGGATCTTGTGGGAACCATGAATTATGAACAGAGGTATAAAATTATGGGCAGAGGCATAAAAAATAAAGTAAGTGGAAGTCAATGCAAAGGATAGTAACATAGTTCTTACAGAGAAGAAATTACAAGGTGGCAAATAGTGAAGATAAACGAGTAGCCAAAATCTGAAGGTTTTTAAAAAAAGATTTATTAAGAACAAAGTCCAGGAAAAGGAATATATACTATAAACCAGTGGTGGGTTATAACCGGTATGCTTTGGTATGGGTACCGTTCTGGTATGGTGCTCCAGGGGGCCCACCCGCCCGCCTGCACTCCTTACTGGTATTTGAGCTCTTTGGGGCTTCCGCACACACGCATGGAACGTACGGCGCCTGCGCGACACTCCACTGAGCAGCTGGAATGTCGCAGAGGCACAGCGGAACGCTGCAGGCGGTAAGTACGCATACACGCGCTGCACACATTCATGTGGTAGACACCCGGCCCCGTTGCATAGTACTGGTTTCACTGGGATCCAGAACCCACCACTGCTAAAAAAACAAATAACATATAGAAAACAAAACCATATTGGTGAGAAAAGTAAGTAATATGAGTAAAAAAAGAGAGGATAGAGATAGAATGAAACAAGTAAAAGCTAAAGGGAAGGCAAGAATAAAGGAGAATAAAGAGAAAGAAAATATCACAAATGTTTAAGTCAACATTCAATAGTTGGAAATAGCAACTTGTGTACATGTAAGAAAGAGAAGCATCTTTATGTTTTATTTATTCTGTCTGTGGATAGAATGGAGAATATAAAAATGAAAGAAAATGAAGGATGTGTAGAGATGAAGCAATAGCTCTGCCTTAGATAATCTGAGGTACCCAGTCAGAAATAATTACAATCAATGTCAAAAGGCTGTATAAAAAAAGGGGAAATAATGCTAAGGTATGCAAAAGGTAGGCAAAGAAAAAAAATGCTTACAGGTCTGCTGTTTTGAAGAGAAAACAAATATTGAAAGTTGAAATAATCAGTTTAAGAGAATAGGCCCCAAATATACCACTCTGGGAAAGTGAGGGGGAGGGAAGAGAAAGATAAGGCTCAGCAGGCTGTCACATATATTGGCAAAATAAATAGCAAACCAAAATAGGAAAGAAAATGAAGTGTGCAAAACAGAAACTATGAAAAAGCACAGATTTATAAAACCCTCAACTGTGAATACTTTGACATATTTTAGAATACTCCTTTTTAAATATGTCGATCTGTGGCCCAATCAGAGGAATTCTGGATGAACACAATCATCCACTTTCATTGGAAATAGAAATAATGGCATTAAATACATTGAACCTCTTTTGGGGTTGCATTGAAGTCAACATTATAAGATCCTGCTGAAACCAGTACCTGAAGGGCAGTTACAGCAAACCTGGGTGGGGAATTCTGGGAGTTGAAGTCCTCCAGGCTTAAAGTTGCCAAGGTTGGAGACCCCTGGTGTAATCTACTCTCAATAGTCTGGTTTATAATAACCTATTGAATTCACATCCTAAACTCAATGGAAGAACCTTTCCTCGTGCTCTCAGTGTAATTCTTGAGCACAATTTGCTGTCAATTCTTTTCTTTTTTCTTTTTCCTAATCCTCCTCCACCCCCTGCAAAGGAGATTCATCTGAAACCAGGAGCTTGTGTATGTGTGAGTTATGACTTGCAATATATTGTGAGAAAGTGAGGCAGGGCAACAGGAAAAGAGAATCCTATTGAACTTTAAAAAGTTGGTTGCAATGTTAAGCTCAGGATGTTTTCAGGGTAAAATACAAAATAAAATATTCTTGCCATCAATATTGCTTGGCCGCCTTCTGCCACTTCTACCAGTTCCATGTACATGACTCAGATAATCCAGTTAAAGCTTTTGAAACCAATCTTCAACATAGTCGCCCACTGAGTTGGCATCACTCACAAACTACTAAGACAGATAACTGAAAGCCGTTAGCGGCAAAGCCCGGAGTTACTTAAAAAGCAAAAATGGGTAGTGTCCTACACAAACTCTGCCACCACAACAGATCCCAGATACTCACATAGTTATCTCTTGCAGACCAGCCAGGATAGAGCTGCATGTGAAGCTGCCTTTCCTTGCGGGCCAGTTCATAATACTTGGCTTGCTCCTCTCGTGACAACGCGTGCCACTGAAAAGGAACCACAGAAAACAATGAGCACCCAAAAAATTTACAGTGCTCTCACACCCTGATCAGAAAAGAGTACTGTTGCCTTCCAGGTGTTGGTAGGTAGGTGTTGGTAGCTCCCATCAGCAGCAACCAGCCACATTCCTAAGCAAGGTCTAAGATATATCTAGAAATCTTAATTCTCTTAACATCTAATTTATTGCATAGATGTAAGGTGGGTGGGTGGAAGATCAACATATTCACAAAGATTCAGCCCTTAACTTTACACATGGTATTTGGAAACACTCTGTTGCACACATCTGATCTTGATAAACACATAAAAGAAGAATCTTCCACATAACAGAGGAAAACGTGGGAATTTGTGACTTTGCAGATGCTGCTGAACGACAACTTCTAGACATTCGTTTATTAATTATATCAATTTTATATAGCCACCGTCTCACAGCTGTGAATCTAAAGAATGGCCAGTAGGAAGGATTCTGGGAATTGCATTTTAGCAAAAACAATACAGTCCCAACTCTTGTGATAAGGCAATGCTCCATTTCCCCCTTTCCACCTACGAGTTTTCTGTACTAGAACATGAAAAAAAAGATGCAGAAATAGCAATTTTCTTTTAGAATTTTTTCATTTCTCAAATCCCCAAATCACTAATTACTAATATAGTCACTGTTATTCATTTGCATATGCTTGTACTTATCAGTTTTTATGGAAATGGAACTTCTCTGTGCAGAAAGCAACGACAAAAGTAAGAATTCAGCTTCTGATTCTATAAGTAAATGGAATCCCTGCACATTGTTTAACCCCACCCCACCCCAAATTTAGGAATAGAAATTTTTGATTGAATTCTCAACACTTTTTTTATGCAATTAACACATAATATCCACGTTAAGTTTTTACTATTTGGAATCAAGATCAGAATTTGGGATACAATTGAAAGTTACATACCTAAGAAGTGTATGCCCTGATGAGAAAAAATAAATTATATGATTGGCCAGAAAAGGAAATAACAGAAGTCTTTGAAATCCAAAATGAAAAAAGCTTGCTCAGTTATAATAAATTAGTTGAGCAGCATTTGGTAGGTCATTTCTCATGTTACTTCCCCTGTCCAAAATGACAATAGTTGATACCTGCCTTACAGTGTTGTGTGGATCCACACTTTGTGGCGGGAAAAATATTTTAGATGTAGAAAGTGATCTACAAATAATCAATTTGAGTTTCCTGACATCTTTTGAAAGTCCCAGATAATGAAAAATGCTTCATGATCTGCTGATGCGGGGACTTGTATACAATCTTTTAAAAACAAATTGGAAAAAGGAAGAAAAAAAAGTTGTGTTTTCTTAAGCTATCCATTCTGCAGCAGTGCAGAAGTTTTGTTATAAATTTTGTTACACTTTCAAAGCCCATCCAGATGTATTGAAACAGATGCAAGGGCCATTCAAGTTTAAATATGGAGAAGGTGTAGCAAAACCAAACCATGGAGATGTCCGCTCTGGAAAAGTGTGTTGGTGTACTGCAAACTGCACATCAACCAGGCCACTATAAAAGGTAAAGGTCCCCTTGCACATAAGTGCTAGTTGTTCCCGACTCTAGGGGGTGGTGCTCATCTCCGTTTCAAAGCCGAAGAGCCAGCACTATCCAAAGACGTCTCTGTGGTCATGTGGCTGGCATGACTAAATGCTGAAGGCACACAGAACGCTGTTCCCTTCCCACCAAAGGTGGTTTCTATTTTTCTACTTGCATTTTTTATGTGCTTTCGAACTGCTAGGTTGGCAGAAGCTGGGACAAATAACAGGAGTTCACTCCGTTACATGGTGCTAGGGATTCGACCCACAGAACTGCCAACCTTTCTGATCGACAAACTCAGCGTCTTAGCCACTATACAACTAGACTATTCACCTATACGGGAGAATAATTTTCAAAGCCTTTCTCCAGACTCTTTCCCAGGTCCATTGGAGCAATATCTTGACTGAAAATAAGGTAAACCAAACAACTCATTCATCACGAATCTTTCCTAATGCCTATATATCTTACCCGTCTTCCTAAAATTTGATTGATCGCGGCACTTTCCTTCAAGGTGCATTCAGCAATGACCTTTGCCCGCATTTCTTTCATGTACAACATAAAAGCATTCAAAGGCTTCTTGATAGTAGGCTTCTTAGCTTCCTTTTCTCTCTTTGGTTCTGATTGTGATTTCCTTAAATGAAAGAGAAAAGAAACAATTGATAATGCAGGGTCTTACCTCAGTACTGCAGCCTCTTAGAAAATGATAAAAAACAAGGATTGACAGTGAAGGAATAAAAATGGATGAGCCAAAGATTAAACATTAAAAGAGCAAAATATTTTTTTCTAATGGTAGTCAACGTTATCACTGGAGATATAATTTTGGTCCTTATGGTCCAAAATATCCTACAAAACATCCTATTGATCCAGTTCATTTGCTCTGTTAATCTGATATATAAAATATCCATATAGGAACCACCATATTTATTACTTTTGCCTGGTAGGACCAGCGGTGGGCTGCTATGGGTTTGCCTGGGTTTGGGAGAACCCGTAGCTAACGTTACGGCAAGTTCGGAGAATCTCCAAATCCCATCCCAGACAGAGGGCAATCTTCCAATCTATAACCCTGAAAAGGAGGCTTGTGGACACTGGCTTTGCAAATGAGAAGCAGCAGCTTCTCTTCCAAGAGGTGGAACTGGTAAGGGAGCATGCCAAGAGAACATATTAGACCACCTATTCCTGCCAGATTCCTCCCACCTGAAGAAGTTCCCTTAGGAGAAGCAGCTTATGATGACCCACTTCTGTGAAGTGAGGTCGGCAGAAGTCCAAAAGCACTGCATTTCTATCATGTCTGCCCCTCTTCTATGACAGCCTTCCAGAGACTTTTACAGACTGAACTTTTCTGAAGGACCTTTATGGATGGATATTAATTATTATTACTTGGATAGTAATTATTATTAATTATATATAGTTCTTGAGCTACAGTGGTAATTGGGACCAGAATTTCCATTGATAAATGATGTGGTCATAAAGCATGATGTGACACTTAATGACAGCAATCCTGGCACTCCCCATTGCCATTATTACCAATTTAGCCAAGCCACTCCCAGCATGGTCCCTCCCAGTCCCTTAAGTTTGGAACTGCCTTCTCTTCAACTCCCCCATCCTCTGATCACCACCACCAGCACCATCTCTGCCTTTATGGCCACTTTGCATTCTGCCACCTCTGTCTATCTTGCTGTACTGTGCTCACTGGCTCAGCTGACTTTTGCCATCTTCCTCCCACTGTTAACTAGTTGCGCCCAGCCTGGTTCGAAGGTCTTCTTCCTGAGGTCACTTGTGCCACTCTCTGAATAACATGCACGATTCCCAGGCTTCTGTGACCATCTAAAATTCATGAGAAGGCCATGCCTGCTGTTCTGCAAATCATTTGCATCATTCTTGTGATGCTTCACAAAGCCTTTGAAAAGCCTCTGAGGCATCCTGAAGCATCATAAGAACAGTATGTGCTTTTTGAAGGATAGTGTGAATAGCCTTGGAAGAAGGCCTAGCAGGGTCAAATGCTGCCTCGCCTAGGGCAGGTTGGACACACCTTTTTAGCAGGAGAAAGATGGTGATGGTCAGTTGGATGTGGCAGGACCTATGGAATGTGTGGTGGCAGCTTTGAGCTGCGTCACTGGTTGTGGGCTTGAACTGAAGTAGTGGCTGGGAGGGAGGGGCAGCTGACTGAAATTGCTGAAGGCCTCAGGCTTCTACTTCAGCCCCCGTGTTGCCACTGCTACCAAGGAGTGCTGTTGTGCAGGGCAACCAAAAGGGCAGAAATGGAGGAAAGGAAAAAAAGAAAGTGGGGGGAAGTGCCCCTGTAGTCATAAATGTGGCCAGACTTCTGTTAGATCGGCAGTATGAAGAAACTGAGGCGTCTGAGGTAACAGTAACCCTTTATTGTAACAAGAACGAATAGCAACAGTAACTGTAGTAGATCGGATAGTCTCTGGAGTTGTGCGAGGTAGATCGGATAGCCTCCGGAGTTGTGCAGCCTTTTATACTCGGCTGTCAAACTGTTTAGCCAATCGCCTCGCATATGACAGCCCGGCAACCGGCAGGCACGTCTGATTGGCTAAGACGTGCCTGGCTGCTGCCAAGCTGTCATTCGTAAGTGTGAGGACTTACGAGGCTATTCAACAACTTCCAAAGATGACTACGCGAGCGCTGCAATGTCTACAATTTTGAGGGCCATTCATAAGTACCATTGGTTCAGCACGACTGTAACTTCAAACAGTGGCTGAACAAATGGTTGTAAATTGAAAACTACATCGTTCTGTCTTTGTTGTGCATTGTACTACATTTATTTTCTGGTGGAAAGTTTATTGTATCTTAACTACGTTACCGTATGTCTTGAAGATTCAGCAGCATAAAAATGCAACATATAAATAAATAGCACAGTACCTATAAGTTTTCATCCCAGCTCTTGGCTACTTACATGCTTCGGTCGTAATGATCCATTTCTTGTTTCCCAGATGGAGATGTGATGCCTGGGTGTGGGAGGCCTGGTGCATGCATTCCAGAGCTAAGCACCAAAGGATGTGTAATCCTGCAATATAACACAGATTTGTTATTGCCTGGATTTCTAATGCATTATATTAGAATGGGATTTGTACAGAAGTTGGACTCGTTTCTAGGTGTGGAGAGTGACTGTTTTACAGAACTGTGTGTGGACATTGGTGTAACAGCAAAGTTTGCTGACTTCCATGTAGGTTGACATTTCCAGAGACATAGCACAATATAAATGGAAGCCTAGGTTTCTAAAGTCTTCTGGAACTGCAACATAATGGATGCTTGGGCACTCAGCTGCTGTATTCTGAATTAGACTGAGAAATACAGCAATGACAGCCAAGGGTTAATCTAACTTGAACAGAGTTTGGTTTTCAACAATTGTGAGACAAGGGCTCTGGCTCACTAGGTGGCACTTTCTAGCTTGATGTCCCCCCCTCTACATTGACTGTTGGAGCAAACTAACACAAATGTTACATGTCAAAATGACAACCTCCCATCTGCAGCCGTCATCTTTGGTTATCCTGAAATTCTGTAAGGGAAGCATTCTTTCGGGATGGAGAACACCCAAGAACGCTTTGACACAGCTCTTGGTAAAGCTTATGGCAATGCTGAGTCAGGCAGCGCCAACTCCAACTTGGTATTTTCTTCTTACAATGCCTGTAGTTAAATAAAGACTGCGAGACTTAATTTGCTGTTTGATTAAAGAGCTGTATTTAGCAGTTCCTTACATGTACCTCAGGTTTAAGTTCTAAGAAAAATAAAAAAGGGGTGGGGAAAATTTTATGCTGATTTTCTGGCTTCAGTTCTTTGCAATAATTATTTTATGCAAGTTGTTCTTGCCAAGGAAACTAGGTTGTTGGGTGACTAAGCCCATTTTAGATGAGGACCTAGACGTGGCTTATATACCAATTCTTTGCCAAGAATTTCTTAGGCTAACGTCCTACAATCTGCGTCTGAGCCTGTGGCTTTAGTGCTATATAAATATTGAATGACCCTTTCCCTTTCTTCAGTAATTCTGAACAAAAAGGGATATTAGAAAGTGAGGGCCACATTCCTGAAGTTTTCATAAAAAAGATTGTAGATGAATTGTTTGCACATTCTTCAGTTCTGAAGAATACTTTCTGCATTATAGAAAGATGCTGTCAATTTACTGAGCATCATGACTAAAGCTTGAGACAGAAGATTTGCCCATGGGAGACAACCAACTGTTCATTAGCTCTGTTGGCACAAAAAGAAATGATGCTTGATATTAATCTACTGGCATAGCTTGAAGCTTGATCATTATCTGTCAAGGTGTGCGTTCTTGTCTGAAAAATCTGCCTCATTCTCTGCTGTTAATGGGAATGCTGCTATGGCAAAGAATGAAACTACCAGATAACTAGGAGGTCTGTCATTCATTTATCTTAAATATTAAGATACTTAGACAGGCAAAGGTGCCTGAGGCAGAGTAAACATTAAGGTAATGGCATAATAATACTATAATAGTAAAAATAATGATGTGCCTTTCCCCATTATGACTCCCAGAATGTCTTCATCAAGAGACTTATTAGGACAATACAAAGCAGAAGCCAGAGGAGAAATGCAATGAATGGTGCTTGCGCATACATTCCCTGTAGGTTAATGTATATTCCAGCTGGACCTTCTCAGAAGTAAAGAGAAAATAAATTTGGCATTCAGGTCATTCTGATTAGCTCCCGCAAATTTACAACCAAGTGGAACAAAGCCCAGCCAATTGATCAAATTCTTTTGTGATGATCAGGAAAGCCAATGGCATATTCACTTCTGAAGTTGTTGGTTTTTTTTAAAAAGGGTTTTGTATGAGAAATCGCCACACACTTCCATAGAAGCAAAGCTAGTATTTGATACTAACTGGTGGCCACCAAGATATTGATGGAATGAGGAGAAAAATGTAAACCCTCTGTAACTCAGCAGAGCAAAAGTGCATTGAGAAAAAGCGAAAATGGGCTGAAGGAATGCAGCACATAAGGAAGAGAACCTGGTAGCTTAAATGCACCAGGTTTTCTACCTGATTTCTACTTCTGTTAAAGACTACTAATTGAACAAAGTTGTAAGGAAGTCCATTATTTCTTGAAGCTACATCAGGTAGATAATTTTATTTTAATGGTAGTCAACAAGATATTGCTTCACTTTGTCTTTTGAGAACCCAGAAAAAAGTTTACTAGTAAGGACACATATCCTCATTCTACTGAAGTCCTTAGAAAAGAGCCCTTGCAAAATTCTGCACAGCTTCAAACTCTGAAAAGGGGACTGAGGGTAAAGGCCTTAATATATAACAAGAAGCATTTTTGAGAGCGCTTAAATAACTGTGGACGATTAAAAAAACCTCATCAGAGCATTTTCAGCTCTCCTTCTTTCCCATTCCTAGATACATGACAATAAGAGACATGATCTTTGGCTTTGCAACATCTTGCGAGGGTTCTCTCTCTCTACTCTCCTACTATTGTTGATCCCAGCCAAACTGTACTTGTCCTCTGGGAGGTCATCAAATTATTTATTGATTTTGGGTCAGAAAAGTCTGTCTGTTTAAAACAAGCGAACTCCTTCCCCGTTGCTGCCATCCGGACATGAGAGCTTCTCCCTAAATCCTGCAAACGTTCATGGTTTGAATTGCAACAGAAGCAGAGCAACATGTCCTGGCTCAGGCAGCTTATACTTACCTGGAGAAAGTAGCCCCAGCAGAGAGCGCCGACGTATAGGGCTGTCTAAATCCACATGACTGGAAAGGGCAGACAGGTTGGCTCTGCCTGGGAGCAGGAAGAAAGAGGCTATAAAGCATCTACACCCATGTCACTTTTCCTGCATACTTTTTTTTCCTCTTTTTTTGTCTGGACTCATAGCTGGCTAAAGTTGGGAACTTGTATGTTGGGGAAAGGAAAATTTTTTTTGTTACTTATTGGCTTTTGTCTAAATGTAGACATGAGCAGAGAAGAGTTTTCTCTAGAGTTTCTTTAGAGTTTCTCTAGAACTCCACCAGTGATGCATAAAAACTACCTGTAATGACTATATGTTTAGCTTTGAAATATGGCTAGAGAAGTAGGCTTTCATTCCTGGTTGAGCCACACAATCAGGTAGAGACATTTGACATAATCCCTCTCCCATGCATCAAAGGGTTCATCCAACCTAGTTATTTGGGTGCAAGCAAGCAATGCAAAATTAATATCCCTCCAAATCCAGACAAATATTTCTATCATCTATACACAGATTTATCTTCTTTGCACTATTAGAAATTAAGGTCTAAATCAGGGGTAGTCAACCTTTTTATACCTACCGCCCACTTTTGTATCTCTGTTAGTAGTAAAATTTTCTAACCACCCACCGGTTCCACAGTAATGGTGATTTTATGAAAACCTAATAAAATTTTTAAAATAATGCTATGATTTTTTTTAAAAAAGTCAATTAAATTTTTTAAAAAAGAAAGTGCCCACCATGAAAGCTGAAACACCCACTAGTGGGCGGTAGGGACCAGGTTGACTACCACTGGTCTAAATAAAGAACATTTCAAATCCTATTTGACAGAAACACAAAGCCATTGCTTAGTTGATGCTCTTGAGTCAGTCTGAAATGACACCAGTCTTATCACTTGTTCTCTTACATAAGTTACACTTACAAACTTGCTCTATTCCAACCATACTCCAAATGGTTACAGAAGATTACGTTTCAAAAGTGAAAGACATTGTTTAACTTTGCAAATGTTGGCTTTTTTTCATTTCTAAAAAGGGCTAATATCTCTTGGATTTTATTGTAAATATGCCACCCCCACGATATCCAAATCCAAATCCAAGCACATTCCCAGTGAGCTTTTAGCAAAATGCCAAACAAATACATGCATCTTTGGTTATTAGCCAAGACCTGTGTGTGGGATGCAAAGCTGGCAAAAATAATTTAGCATTACATCACAGGGAAGCATGAAGTGGCAAGTGGAGGACTGGATTGGGAACGCTTCTGCAAAATTCAACTGAATCCAGGACAATATAGTTCTTTATAGAAGCCTCCACATAAAACAATGTAAATATATATGATGTATACTTTTTCTACTCTTGTTAAACAGATAATGGCTTGCAATAATCTATACCTAGCAAAGGTAAGAATTTCACAGTGAAATTCTGAGAAAGTATCAGTATCGGCTCTAATTATTAATCAGTTTTTGAGGATTTTGACTACTGACCCCATTTGAAGCCTTCTACCTAGGAGGAAATTATCTACTCTTACTTTATTCCAAAATACGATCTGGGGTAGTGTTTCCCCAACTATGTATCTTCCAGAATTATTTACTGTTAGTGCCAAAATTTCCTAGCCAGTATGACTACTGTTGAGAATTTGTGGATCTGAAGTCTTGGAAGCTGCCAAGATTGGAAAAATCTAATTCGGGCCTGTACTTAATTATGATAGGATGGAAGCATCTAGTGGATATCTTGTTAAGAATCAAGAATTTAATTAGAATATACTGGTCAACTATCTTAAATACAGGGAGAACCATGCTGAAAGTAATACTGGTGGAAACTCGTGGCAAGGTCAAAAGATTGGAAACCATGTCTTAATTGTGGGAAGACCATCAAATTTCACTAGATGTAGATCTGCAAGTGTGGACAAAGCCACAAGGAAAAATCTGCATGAATGGTTTCAATATTAAAAGAGATTCCCATTTTACAAGGACATATGCAATGGGACCACAGAATGTGAAATGCATGAATGAATATACCTCGATATTTTGAATGCAGAAAAGGAGCACATTAAGGAATGAGTGATTTTATATGATCTGGAGTAAATCAATTTAAATGAGATGATATATTCAGGGCATGAGACCATAAGAAGGAATAAAATAGCAAAGGCAATGGTGTGGCAACAGAATGGAAAGGATAATTATAATTATGCTTTCAGTTACAATCCAGTAAATCATAACAATTGAAACTAATGTATTTTCAATTAACATGAATATTACACAAGGATATGTATTCATTACAACACAATGAGGAAAGAGGTAGGCTGTGACAAACCTTAAGTGGTACTGAATGCAACACCTAGACATGCAGTACTACTAATGGATAATTACAATGCAGAAGAAACAAGGAATTACAGGAAGATCTCACATGGGCAAATACAATAATACTAAGTGTTCTGTGAACAGAATTATTTTTGTTATTAATATTAATTTTAAGCAATATAGATACAGATTATACATTGGAACATTAACTACATAATATCCTGGTCATCTCCCATAAGGATTATTGCAATGAGCTCTACAGGAGGCTGTCCTTAAAGAGCATCTGGAGAAGGCAGCTGGTGCAGAATGTGGCTATATGAGGAGTCTTGGGCCTCCAACGATTGTGCAAGTAACACCTTGGCTGCATAAGCTGCACTGGATGCCAGTTTACTTCCAAGTCCAATTAATGGCTTGGTTATCACCTTTAAAGCCATTCATTGTGGCACGGAATCAGGTTACCCAAGGACACATCTCATCCCAGTTACATCAACCTGTCCCATACAATCAGGCAGAGGCAGTGGTGCAATTCAGCAGGTTCTATCTGGTTTGGGTGAACTGGTAGCGGTGGCGCCAGGAGACTCCCCCGATCTGCCTGACATCATCACATCCTGTTTTTGATGCTCTGCTTGCTCACATTTGCGAACCAGTAGCATAGGTAAGTTGATTTCACCCCTGGGCAGAGGGGATATGTTACAGACTCATCAGTTAAGAATTTCAACTGGCAGGATCTAGGAAAAGAGCCTTCTCTGCCATTGCTCCTGCCCTATGGAATATCTTGTCTTTAGAGATGAGGTTAGGTCTGATATTTTTGGGCCCTCCAGAAAGATATGAAGACCTGGCTTTACTAACTAGCATGGGGGGGGATGTCAAAAAGTAGCTGACAACTCTGAGATTGGTAGTGGCTTGAGGATGTTCCTTCTGTGTTTTTTTTTTACTTTTTAGAATGTCTTTTTAACTCTGCCCTTTTTTATTTTTCACTTTGTTTTAATCCTTGTTTAATTGTAATTCTTTATATGATTTTATCATTTGTATCTGTAAACTGCCCACAATCACTTGGATAGTGAGATGGGCAGTATCTACATTTGATAAATAATTAAATAAATAAGAATTGAAAAATGGGGAAGTACAATCCAATCCCCAGGACACCTCCAGGTAAAAGAGTGAAATTATTCATTTCAAATATATGGGATAAGCATAGCAAATTAAAAACAGCATACAGATGTTGTTGACAGGCACTGGATTAAATATAAGGATCAGATTCAGCATACTTAACATATAAGAAATAGAACATGAAGAGCTAGAGGAAGAAACAAGAGATACATTATGGGACCCAAAATAGAAAAAACAATATTCCTACAATGGTAAGAAAAGATTAAAATGGCTTTCAGAGTAAGCCACCAAAATAGTTAGTGAAAGGTGGAGAATGAAAGCCGTGGGTAGCAAGAAGCGTACAATAACTGAACAGAGATTTTCAGTTTCATGCAAGAAAGAACAAGTAAAGCTATTTCAATCAAGAATGTCACTAAATAAAATAATATATCATGAAAAGAACAAGCAAAGAAAATTAGAATTAACCCTCAAAATATACACACATTATTTAAGTGATCTAATAGAGTCTAAAAAAAGTAGAAATTCTAGAATTAAATATTTTACAAAGGGACTTATAAAATGACAGGCATTTGTGTAGAAAGCAAATATTCAAAAACTAATTCCCTGGAAAGTGAAATAGAACAGGCAGCAAAGCAGGAGGGCAAACAGTTGCACACTAATACATATGGAATAAATCTGAGTTTCCCAATGGTTGGAAAAGATCAATGAATATACCCATACCAAACAAGAAAGATACAAGAGAGGTTTTGTGAACCAATGCACTAGCTGTTTATTTCGGCAAAAATTTGCTTAAGGCCTTACAATAAAAAATAAAGATACATATAGATTGAAACCAGAAGGATTAAATGGTACGACCTTAACATTCAGAGAACTACCTGTAATATCTCTATTGCTACTGGTATTGACTTCATCTTCTTTCTTTTTAACATAGTTATCAATACCATAAACGTGAGGTACAAAGAGAAGAAAATATTAAGTCTTCATACTTTCTAATGTCCCAGTTTTCCATGCTCCATTCCAGGATACATATGTGATTTATAATGGCAGAAAAAACTGAGTATTCAAACTTCTGTCAGAAAGGTTGAACTCAAACTGTTTAAATCAGGGGGAGAGGAAAAGTATAAATGACACCTGGATGGTTATATTTTGGAGTCTACAAAGACAAGGTTGCTTCCCTGTAAACCTTGCCAATATGAAGAAAACCTAAAGAGGAGAATCTCTGGCAACATTACTTCCCTTTCCAGGATACCAGAAGTTGGAAGTCACCATAGAAAAAACAAGATGTCTGGATAAAAGGAAGACAAGATGACAGCAGAGAAGCAAAATGGGTTTTCCACATCTATTTTTGCTGTGAAACTTGTTGGAAAAAATGGTTATACCTATATGGTTATTTGAGGAGGGATAACATCTGAAAATGCATGCCAAGTAACAATGACATAATACATTGCACAATAAGTGATCAGTAGAGCCAGATAATTTTCACCTGAAGAATTCAAATGAGATCTTGCCAATCTCTAACAAAAACAGACAAGTTGCTGTTAAAATAATTTCCAGAGATCAGAGAGCCAAATAAAATCATTTTTAAATGTGTGTATGTTTGTGGTGTGGTATTAGACAAGAACAGAACAATTAGGACAATGCCTATCTCAAAGT